CAAGACAATCTTGCCAGACTGAATCTAAACCTCCCAAGCCAGCAAGCAAACACTGTGAATTCCTTAGGGTGGTACCAGCCTCATCCTCTTCACCTTCCCACACTCATTCTGGGGGCTAAGGAAAAACTTATCTCCCCGAGTGCGGCCTTCGCCATACCATTCCATCACGCTGCCTTCCATACCATGCACCCACCCACAGCACTCTCTGCCTGCAGCCCCCACTGGCCTGCCTGTACTCCCCAGCACCCTCCTATGGCCCTTGCTGTCCTGTCCACACTCCCCAGTACCCACCCATGGCTGTTCCCAGCCTGTCTGTGCTTCCCAGCACTCACCTCTGGCCCTTGCCAACCTATCCATACTACCTAGCGCCTGCCTGCAGTACCCCTGGCACCTGCACCCCACCTGCCCTCCTTACCTGGGACTCCCACCTCTTCCTGCTTGACAATCCACATAGTCCTGGGGATACGGCAGCTGCTGGGATTGCTGTCACAAAGCAATTCAGTCATGTGATGTTGCCCTCTATGACCGCATCACTTAGCGATGGTAATCCCGATCCCAACTGCCGTCATAACCCGAGGACTATCTGTATTTAAAACTTGGCAAGGTCATATTTTAAAAATCTGTTACATATATACAATAGAAATCTAGTTTGAAATCAAACATGTTTTTAAAAACTTTTCCATCATATTAATTGATGTACTGAATCATTATACTTTCCTAATAAGCTTTGGTCTGACGTTTAATGTGGAGATCTCTAAAGTAGCGTAACAGCATAGTGAATTCTGCTGTATATCCCCTTGTTTTCCAAATCTAGAATATAGCTGGAATTGAAGAGGTTTTCTTTATAGGTCTAGAATTGTTCCATGTTGAAATGTTGGTCATTAGTGATATATTCTTAAAACAAAGCAAACCCAAACTTCTTCATGTTTATAACAGGAATATCAGGGGCAAGTCTATTTTAACAACTTTTTCCCCCACCTGTCAGTTTTCTGTGTGCAAGAAGTTTAACTGAAGGAGAGGAATCCCCCACTGCTATTATATACTGTATAATGTCATGTGTAATATATCTCCTTAAAAAAAAACTATCTGAAAAATACCACAGAAGTGCAAAAAAATTGGCCAAAGTTCAGTGGTTGGAAACTTGTTTTACGTTCTCAAGTTCAATTTCTGGCATCTCTGGCTAAAGAATCTCATATAAAGAAAGACTGTCCTTGAAACCATGTAAAGATACAGGCTCTTTCAAGTTGAGCTCAAATCCTGGTGACTTTATGAACAGATCTCTGCCTTTTTTTTTTTTTTGGAAACAGTATAAAAATAATTGCTGTGGCTTTCTTCAGATATGAATTTTGTCTTCCCAGTCTAGTACTGGGCCCAGATATTCTCTGGTAGATTCCTGTCTAATGAAAGGATCATCTAGTATCGACCTGATGTAGCTTCCAAGCCCAAACAAGGTTGGTTGGGTGCTCCCAGCTGCTGAGACATTCAGAACATGTGTTTATAGCAGACAGTACTGAGTTAAATAAATTGAAGTAAAAGACTGCTTAATGTTTGCATATGTTCAGTATTTATGAAAGAAATATTTGATTTCTAAAGGATCTCAGTACCATAGAATAATGTTTTTAGGACAAGGTTCACTCTATAATCAGAAGTTTGATTTGAGTCTGGTTGCTTAATTGAAGCACACTTTTGTACCAATGCCAGCAGAACTTCAGAAACAAATAATGAGTTTTTGGAAGGAAAGAAGCATGATTTGTGAAGATTTGATTTTCAGGGTATGAATTTATTTGAGTGGGTCCCACATAATCAGCCTGGATATTTCAGTGAATTCTGGATTTTCATTTATAAAAATTAACAGGATCTTTCAACAATAATTCCATTTCATTCCCCATATGTATTTCCTTATTTTCTCTCCTCTGCCAATAGATATTCAGCATTGAGAGACCACTTGGGCATCCAGTGTTCATTCATCTTTGTTTAGATTTACCGCCCCTTGGGAATCTCTTGCTTTCTTACATATATTCCAAGCCTACTGATTTTGTGTTTTATATGGATTTTGGATCCTTATAAGGATAATATATACATAATTTATATATATACATAGTATATATATATATATATATATATATACATATATATATATATAATAATATATGTTACATATATTACATATAATTATTACATAATATATACATAGTATAAGTTAGCTCAGCTCTTTCTTAGACTTTTATAGTTGTTAAAAACAGAATCCTAAAAAATGTGGCTATAAACTGGGAAGGGTGGTGCTTCCGTTATTCTCACACCTTATATTTTTTAAACTTACGTTTCTACCCAATCCTCTTTCTACCTTAAGGAAATTAAATGGACAGATCTCAAATTCTGCATGAAACCCAATAAAAGCCATAATCTACTTTGCATCAACAAAGAGATGTTGTTAACTGTTGCATTCTAGGCCTGGCTCCATCTTGGAGATGTGACCCAGAGTGAAGAATATGTAGCCTGCCCTGTGCTGCTCAGTGCACACAAACACAAAAAGATGCAAATGAGGGGAGAACAGGCATACACAAACAGTTCTAACATGTTATTTTGTTACGCAGAAAAAATACAGGTGTTTCCTATAATCACTGCTAGTAAAGAGGTTAGGAAGAATTCCAAAAGCCATGTTCTGCATGTTTTTTCTACCTTGGGCGTTTTATTTGTTTGTTTCCAATGAAGAAAGATACCCTGTTTGACTTCATCTGCTAAACCATTGGTTTTCAACTTGCAGTATATGTACCACAGATACTCAGACTCAGATGTGGTTGAGATGAATATAGAAATTTTAGTTAAATCTTTAAACATTAATATTAATGATAAATATAAAAGTAGCATGTCTTAAGAAAAAGTGGTATTTTTATTTCTATAATGGTTGGGGCCCACGTTCTTCAATTGAGTAATGGTGATGTTTAAAACATAAAAGGTTGAGAATTACTTTGCTAAACTACCACTTGCAACATAACTTTAATGGAGATTTCCTCCATCTTGGTTTTTGTCTGGAGAACGAGGAAGAATGGTAACAGCAAAGACTCCCCTAACTGTTGTTACTGACATAACTTACAAATGTGAAATTAATAACTGGTTTTGTGCAGGTTTCTAGGCAAAGTTCTGCTCTTCAAAATTGTTTTAAAAACTGGACAAACTAGCTGATTATGTTACTTTGCTTAAATTGGTCAATAAAAGTGATGTGTCTAGTACTAGGGATATGCAGCTATTCAAATCTGACCTGGGAAGGTGCTCTGGATTCTTCACAGGTGTGCTTGCTGTACCTTCAGCAGCCTGAGCCCAGAAGAAAGTACAACTTCTTTAAGATGGCACTGACAGGAACAGCAGATGTGCCCACACTGGATCCAAAATCCTTTTTCTTTGTGGATCCAAATAGCTACAAATCCCTATTGGTAACATAGTCAGGATAAAGGAACATTGAGCCAATATAAGTTGTTGACTTTCCATTTCACAAACAGCATTGTAATAACATATTTTGATTTTAGTCAGTTTTTGCAACTTGTAGTTACATGGATTTAAATGCATGGATGAGTTTCAAGAGTAAGTTCATTTAGTAATCTTTTAAAATCAGCTGTAATGTCATATCCTGATCTATATGCATAAGACTGAGAACCTTGTTAATAACTGGAGGTTGAGTCATGGCCCATCATGTCAGTGAGAAACGCAGCCACCCTGGAAGACATTTATGGGGTCCCCCCTAACCAACTTTCTAGACTGAACAAGCTGCTTGGACAAGCAGCA